AGGATGAATCAATGTAGCCGGTGGGTTACATAACAATCATTTTGTGACTTGTGAGCAGAACAAACGGCCACAGAAAGAGTACTGCAAATGATGCAACGTCATGCAAACTTAGCATCATTTTTTGAGTTCAAAACAAAGTTACCAAGACAGTGTCATCGTCGCTTCACCCTATTCTACATGAGTTAACGCTACGAAATAGCATACATTCCATCCAGACATAAGATCATCCTTGCAGTTGTTTTCTTGCAAGTCCATACCTTCCTAGCTACATGGTCTTGACTCTTGACTAAACACGCCTGATAGCATCTCAAGCCGACGTGCATATAGCATAGCGTCAGCGAGCGTTTAGCAGGCATAATTCAGTCTAGCATCTAGATTACAGGATACAAACACTAAAGACTGGGAGTGGGTAACCATTTTTCAGTGTTCTTGACATCCACAGCTAGCGTGGGGAAGCCCATGATCAAGCCATACGCCGTGTTCAGACATGACACGCTTCCTGCTACGTGTCCTGCTCAGGTTTTGGACCGTCATCGTCCGTCTTTGTCGCGGTACTCGTACCAAGGATCCACGCCGCAGGACACGACCCTCCGAGCGACCTCTCAGATAGACTCCAAAAAATTTTCTCCAAGAATCCCTTGTGTCGGTCGGTGGTGGCGTCGGGCTGGGTGTCAAAAATCTCAAATTGATTAGGTGTCCACATCTTGTTTATTATAGACTGAAAAATTTGTGCGAAGTTTATTTAATTGCTGTTTAATTTCTAGCAAAAAATAGATGTTTAATAACTGTTATGTTTTTGGTATAAAAAAAACTCATTTCATGCATGGTGTGTAGTCTGTGTTGAAGAAGTGCTAATGCTGAATGTCCAGGACCGATTTCGGAGGCTGCTTCTGCACGGCGTTTGTGAGGTGAGCAAGTTCCCAAGTCTAAGAAAATCCAACAGCTTCCTCTGGAAGAACATAGTTTATCACTTAAACAGTTGTAGTGTTGATAATGGTTGTCTATGCAGTTCTACAATTGTATTTTACTGTTGATTTAAAAGTAAAAAAGAGAGGATTTTAACATGTTTTGTTATTCTTTTTAAAGCCATTTGTTCTATTTTAAACAACTAATGGATGTAACCATCTAACACTTTGTAGGTGGGTGACTCAGAAATGAAATGGTCTTCATGAAGCACAATTTAATTGTTGCTTTTGTAGAGTGTACACATGCTGCTTGTATTAGAACTAGTGTTGTGGCGACCTAATCAAGTGGGAACCATTTGAATTGTAAGCTGTGAACTTGTAAAGAACATATTAATAAACGATGTGTTTATATTTAGGTATATGCTGATTAATTAATGTATATCATATCATGGCTTGTGAATGCATGTAACATGAGTATAGTGACTGTAATATTAAAATATATTGATTCCTGCAATTATTTTTTATTGCTAGTATAGATTTCCTTGGGGGTTGGCCCTCTTGGAATCAGAATTACCTTGGCGGCTAATGACAGTCAAGGAAAATTATAATTTCCTTGGAGGTTAAGGGCAGCCAAGGAAACACCAATTACCTTGGCGGTCTAGAGTGTTTAATTTCCTTGGAGGTTGTCAACCCTCAAGAAAATTAATTTACTTGGCTGCTGCCGACCCTCAAGAAAACTTCTTTCCTTGGCGGTTACAACATTTCCTTAGCCTTTCGGCAAATTAAGTCTGGTCGTAGTTTCCTTGGCAGCCAGCCTCCAAGGAAATCATCCTTGAGTGGCAAAACCGCCAAGGAAACTAATTTCCCTTGTCCTCTATTCTTGAGTGTGTTTGCTTGACGGTTCGTGGCCAAGGATCATTTCCTTGGGGGTTTAACCCTTTTCCTTGGCTGGCACTCAAGGAAATTTGGGATTGTGGTAGTGATAATACCTATTATTGTTACATCATAGGATTGGATTTAGGTTGCAAAACTCTTTGTAGATTGGTTAAGATATCACACTAAAAAATGCGCACATCATGCTAGTTAGCTTATGTTTTTTCTAGATCAAGTTAAGCCTAGGTTTAAGATTTAAGTGATCAATCTAGTTCATTTCCCCTCTTAGGCTCATGGCCAGCACACCTTCCATAAGAAAACTACTTTGAGATTTGTCCTAGGTAAACTATATTATGTTTGACTAAATTTGTAGAAGTATCACCATTCACCAATTAGGACAACAAATTAGTATCATTAGGCTGATTATTAAATAAATTTTTACAACATTCTTATTGATGTTACATATGTTAATTATTTTTGTAGAAATTTAGTCAAAAAAATAGTTTGACTTAGAACAAACATCCAAGTAGCTATACCTTGGGACGAAGTAGTATAGAATTACGATGCAAATAGATAGTATATTTTGTAAGGTTTTCTTACATCATAAAATGACATAATAAGAAAGAACAAAGGGAGTATTACAGTAGAATATGTGAACAAACTAAAGAGAGCAAATAATACAAGTAATTTTGATTAGCTACGGACTAAGTTTATTAAAAAAATATGACCTAGAATACCCTCCAACCTTCATCTAAATTACTCACCTATGCTAGTATGAACAATAATAGTAACTACCTAAATCTTGATCTAAGCTTCGACACCGATGCCTTGAATTTGCATCTAAATTAGTCATCCCCAGCATTGTAACAAGATCCAAAAGTAACTATCTATGCCTTTTTATGAAAGATAACATTCTTAAGTTACATCTAAAGTACCTACACAACATTATTTATAACCTAACGTCTACATTATTGACACCATTTTTAAAGATATTCTAGAATACTTCCTTCTAAAAGTATCCACTCGTGCATGTCATTGTTGATATAGGAAAACCTAATAGCTTGATGTATCCAGCGACGATTATACATAACTATTCCCTTGTCAAACACACAACTCAAAGTAAAATTTCAATTGATCGAGGTGCCATGCAAAGAGAAAAGCAGAAAAGTATACAGAGCAACTTGTTAACTGAAGTTCCTATTTGTGACATGTCTATTGATTAATCAATGCACAAAATATGGAATAACAGTTTCGTATTTCACATGTCTTTTTATAAAAAGTTGATATGTAGTACTCTAATTGATAATATATTGCAAATGTATGTTTAAATGACTCTTTTCAAATCAAAATCCCAAACCATCTTATAAAAAGGAACAGAAGGACACTACTGGATCAGGAGCTTTGCCGAGTGCCGGGGGCACTCGGCGAAGACCCAAAAACAAACACTCGGCAAACCCTTTAATGGCAAACGCTTGTTTGCCGAGTGTTTTTTATCGGACACTCGGCAAAGACGTTGCCGAGTGCAAAAAAAAACACTCGGCAAACTTTTTTTCAAAATAAAAATTAAAAAAAGCAGGCCACCATCCACGCCCGCACCACCAGCACCGCCGCCGCCATCCACGTCTGGGGTGCGCCGGCCACCACCACCACCACCGGACGAAGGAGAGAGGGTGTCACGCCGCGCCTGAGCCGGATCCGCCGCTCCACCACCAGATCCACGAGTGTCTCCACCGGATCCGTCGCTAGAGGAAGGAGAGAGGGCGCCCGATCCAGATCCACCGCTCCACCACTAGATCCACGAATGCCTCCACCGGATCCGCCGCCAGAGGAAGGAGAGAGGGCGCCACGCCGTGCCCAAGCCGGATCCGCCACTCCACCACCAGATCCGCAAGCGCTTCCATGGGATCTGGCCAGATGCGCGCAACGAGGGAGAGAGGGAGGGCCGGATCCGCCTCCGAGGAAGCCGCCACTGGGACCGCTGCTCGGGCTTGGGAGGTGCTGCCGTTGTAGGGCCATCGCCGCCGGCGCCACATGCTGCTGCCCCCGCCACTAGGGCGCACGACGATCGCCGGGAGGGTCGGATCGGCGGCGTGGCGGGAAGAAGAAGGAGGAGGGAGGGGCGGATCCAAAGACGCCAGCGGGAAGAAGAAAGGGGATGGAGGGGAGGGGCCGGATCCGGCAGCCGCCGGCGGGGAAGAAGAAGGGGAGGGTCCGGCCACGGGGAAGAAGAAGAAGGGAGGAGGGAGGGCCGGCCGTCGACGGGAAGAAGAAGGGGAGGAGGGAGGGGCTGGATTCGGCGTGGCGGGAGGAGGAGGGAGGAGGGGGCGGAGGAGGAGGAGGGGGAAATCGCGCTGGGCTGGGCGGGGTGGGAGCCCTGGGGCGGGAGGTGGGCGGACGAGGGGCTGGGAGGGAGGGCGGGTTTTATTGTGGGTGGTTTTATTTATTTATTTATTTATTTACTTTGCCGAGTGTTGATTTTAATACACACGGCGAACCTTCCTTTGCCGAGTGTTTTTTCGTGACACTCGACGAATCCTCTATTTGCCGAGTGTTTTTTGTTTGACACTCGGCAAACTCCCATTTTTGCAGAGTGTTTTTTGTTTGCCGAGTGTTTTAGGATAACACTCGGCAAAGAATTTGTTCGTCGAGTGCCCGAGGAAATACACTCGGCAAACAAATAAACACTCTGTAAATTTGAGGATTCCGATAGTGGGAGTACTGAGTTAGAACATGAGCAAACTAGGATATCACATAAAAACAATTTTGATCTTCTATGGGGCCTAACTTTATCTAAGAATTTGTAATATTTATATCACTTATTATATTAAAATTAAGAGTGCATATGCAATGGTCTAGTTATTATTTTATTTTACAAAATGTAAGCGTGGACACCCATGATCGAACCCTGACCCGGCAGTTCTTGGCAACATGTCACGGTCCTGCGCCACTGGCCACGACACGCCGGGCGACATCCCAGACCAAGCTCATGGTCATCTCGTTGTGATGAGGACCGGAGTGCACGACGACTTGCTGACGATATCCAGGAGCTTCCCACAGAGCTCGTAGGCGATGAAGTCATCAGGGAGCTTCTCGGCGACGCCCAGGGCCACCGCATGCGCGATCTGCTCCAGGAGCTTGTCCTTGGAGCCTTACTCGAACACGAACGCGTCGAACTTGTCCCGCCAGACGCGGGGGGTGTCCAAGTGGTAGGTGCGCGCCAGCTCACGCCACAGCTCCGCGGCCGTGGCGAAAAAGGGCGTAGTCTGGCAGCAGGCAGTCGGAGAGCGTGGCGAGGATGTGGCCGCGGCACACCGCGTCGTCGCGCGCCCACTTCTTGGCCGCGGCCTCATCGTTATCGCCGCCGGCGCCGGCACCGGCACCGGCGGGACGGGCCTCGAAAACCACGTGGGCGACGCTGAGGGTGCGGATGCGCATGCGGAGGAGCAGAGATTCCTTCCACCGCAGGTAGCCGCCGGCGCCGTCCAGGGGCTTGATGGGGAGAGTCGTCGCCATCGATCTATCGGAGCACCTGTCAGACATGACACCAATCGACGCATCAGATCATCAGCAAGCCACTGCATGCAATGCCGCAAGATGGGCGAGGATTCTTGCTATTTCGCGGAGGCAGATTTTGACGCAGATTAGGGGACGATTTTGACGGTGATTAGAAGGTCTAGGGCCGGATGGCGGGGGCGATACATACCTTAGGGTTTTTTGATCGGAGGAGGAAGCGATATTCTTGTTGATACGAAAGATTTTCCTTATTTTTATAGGCGGAGGAGCTAGCGAGATTCTTGGGACTCCTCTTACCTATTTTTTAATTATCAATTAATGGAGTAACTGGCAATGAAAGCCACGGTCAAACAAGGAACCTGGCAACAAGGGCAATGAAAGTCTACTTTATTCACGCAACAGATAGCACCCAAGGATTTCGTTCACTCGGCACATCGTTCGCGCTCCTACCATGCAAATCCGCGGCCTCCGGCTTCCAGCCGTGATCGATCAGCCTACTGGGGCCAGGATGCCGACCTCACCGCGTTGGGAGGCCCAGCACCAGCAAGATGGCTAAGGCCGTGCGCGTCTTCTTCGACTGCAAGCTAGGACTACCTCAAGTAGTACACGGTGGGCGCTTACTGCCCTAGGGATGCTGTCGACAATGCCATCAAGAGGCAAAACGGCCTAGGCAGTCGGCACAACCACATGTGCTTGCCTACGGGGTTTTCTTGCATGAATTGACATTGCCTGCTTTTTTACTCGATCGACGTGTATTTTAATTTGTAGTATATGTTGGGTTTTATTAGGTTTGGCCTAATTTTATTCAATTCAAATAAAATAAATCCTAGGTTCACATTAAATGCTAGGTGCAATAAAGACTTAATGGCGGGCTAATTGTGGTTAATGTTTGGACTTGTAACCATTATGGTTATGGCTGCAGTTACTAGCAACTCTTGATATTATGGTTACGGTTACTGGTAACACTAGGAAAAAAAGGGCTTCTATTCCCGGCTGCCAACCCCCTTTATTCCCGGTTACGCAGCCGGGAATAGGAGTTCGGGAATAAATGGTTAGTAGCCGGGAATAGAAGTGGACTTTTAGTCCTGGTTGGTGCCGGGACTAAAAAGGTAGCCACGCCAGCGCCTGGGCTGGCCCCTTTATTTCCGGTTGGTATTACCAACTGGGGCTAAATGGTCTTTTTTTCTTTTCTTTTCTTGCTTATTTCAATTGATGATTCTTTTTTGTTTTAATTTGGTTTTCGAATACGCATTATTCGCTGCAAAGTAATATACGTATACGCGCGCGTACTGTAAAGTTTTCGCTCGATCAATGCACGCAAGCAACACAAGTAAAAGTAAACTAAAACATAATATTACATTTCATCGTCACATGTAAAGTTTGCATTAATTGTACATTTCATCATCACATGTTCTTTGGATCAATATGAAATTTGGCTTTCATCGTCACATATTTAGGTCATAGTAAAACTCGCCGCCGGGAGTTAAGACATGATCATACAGAAATCCACCTATTGTCTCTTGGATTGCTTTGAGATGGTATGTGTCCAGGGTTTTTTCCTTCAACCAATGAGTCTTCAATTTGAGATATGAGATAAAGAAAAAGTATATTAGTATATATATATATATATATGTATCAAGAATAATGATAAATAAATTGTATCTATCATGAATATATATATATATATATATAAATATATGTATGAAGAATATATATATATATATGTACACTTACCCTTTTTTCCTCTAGACTAGTTCTTTTTTAGCACACTCTCATGAACTCGCAAACATAGTATCCACAGAGATTGGTCCCCTGGGGCTACCGCAGAATCCACTTTACGAGAAAAAGATTCGTCATCATCCGAGCATAGGGAAATTGAACTAAGGTAGGTATATAGTACTTACTTTGTATAGCACTACTTTCAGTGGCACTTTGCGTTTCATATGGTGTTCCTGACAGATCTTTTCCCAACAACTACCAAATAACATAAAAAATATTTGGACCATTAATTTGCATGCAGAGAGATGGGAATAGTTTTGCTAGTGAGACTGCAATTACCTCTGAATAATATCTATCATCTCTTGAAACTCTTTTTGCTCTTTTCTCATCGTGTCCCAGATGCCTAGATGACCTTTCTCCAGATCGAGTTCCATCAATATCCAGTGTTCACTGCCATGTCCATTAACACTCATTAATTAGCTAACAGGTACAGTGAACATATATATATGGATACACGATCGTCAACATTATGAACACTTACCTGAAGTTGTAGGGGAAGAGTATACATTTCTTGTCACGTTGCTTCTCTAAGAACATCTTGATATTGGCCTCCGTTTCTACTTTCCATGTTGGTTGGGGTTTAGGGTTTTTGAATACGATATGTGGATCAATGAAACCAATATCAGTACACCCTCTCTTTTTGCACTCTCCCATCTCAAACCTGCATCATATATATAGAGTGAGGATAATAAACACAGACATGTACGTACATAGCGACTTATTATTAATTAGTAGAAAGAATCACTTACAGATAATAGCAGCTGATGAGAGTCTTGTCGAGAGAGTTCCGGTGGACTAGTTGGTGTAATTTAGCTAACTCAATGTACATAACGTCATCGCCACGGAACCAATGGTCGTTTTTTATTCTGACAGAAATATAGAACTCTTTCCAGTGACACGCGTCGAGGTACAAGGTGTTTAGCTTGAACAATTGTGTACCCAGTTCATTGATGGTCTTAGGATTCCATAGACTCACCGCCATGCTCATATTTTCGCCATTCATCCGCCTCTGGGCGCACTTTCAAGAGGAAATCGCCAAGGTCGATACCTCTCATAGCATAAAAGTTAGCAAGTTCCGCCATATCCACTTCTTTATCGGTAGGTATTTCCATCATATCTAGCATATCTATGTTTGAACCATATTCATTAGCAATAACTAGAGGGACTGATTGCAATTCTTGTTCTCCGAGTTGTGCACAGCAGTTTTTCCTCGCTTTTGACTTTCTTGATTATCTTGCTAAGAGTGTGGTCAAAAGTCGATGGTGGCGAGGGCTTACGAGCTTACCGCCTCTTTTTCGCTTTCAGCTTCCACCATCCGCCTTAGTTTATTTGGAGGTAGGTGGAAGTGCTTCTCTCCTCGCCGCTTCCTCTTCCTGTGCTCGAGAAGAATGCTTGACGGTTTTTTTAACCGCATCATCTAACTCCTCTTTACTCATTTCACCGGGCAATTTCTGTGGAATTGGCGTTGGTTTCACTGGGCCTTCTTGGTCGCGTCTCGGCCGGTGAGGCAGATGGCTTATTTGTTTGCAGCCGTCTTCCCTGGTTCATGGGAGGAGGTGGGGGAACAGGCGTTGGAGACCTTCGAGGCGGCGTTGGGGAACCCCTTGGAGGCGGTGGCGGTGGCGGTGGAGACCGTCTTGGAGATGGTGGGGATGCAGCCGTGTCTTCTACCCCATCGTAACCGCCGCCCAGAGCACTATGATGGTCTGGTGATTGTACTATTGGACTTAGGTTGGGGGAGGCCCTGCTGTGTGCATACAGAAGACAATGAGTCAATTGTTATCTAAGAGGCAATATAAAATTAATAAAAAAATTGTTTCATTCACTTTCATCCGTACCTATTGTGCGGCAACGGCTTCCCGAGAATATTGATGTAGCGCTTGCGCCATGCAATGAATGACTTCTCTGCTTCTCCCACGGTCTTCTCCCCATCACCTCCATGAATGTCAAGAGGCACATCGCTAAAACCTTCAATAACTTTATCCACCGAGACGGTAGCATATCCAGCTGGTACTACTGCCCCATGGATTCTTGGTGTCTTGGTACGGTCGATAGGGTTTACAACATCAATAGCCACCTTCACTGTGCCATTATCTTTTGGAATGTGCAGCTCACATGATGTAAAAGGTTCAGTGACGTCATCCACGGGGAAGCGTAGCTCTGCATCTTTTATGGCATCAGGCAGCTCCGTAGAAGCACAACTGCTTCTCAACTAATCAGAGCTAATGTTGATTCCCAGAGCTGTTGTAATCCCGTGGGCACTCAATTGTATTTGCACTTGCCTTGTGACTTCCTCCTGCATTTTCTCTTGCATTTCTTTTTCTCGCCTTTGTGATTCAAGCACCGCTTCCCGTGACTCAATAACATATTGCTTCAAGATGCGGATCCTCTCTGCCTCCTCATCCTTCCGTCTCTGGCTGCTTCTGTACGAATCGATCCATTCAGGGAAACCTTGCACCCACAGAACGGCCCCTTTGCCTCTAGTTTGTCCACAATGCTCAGCAGTCCCAATGGAATATGTCAGTTCATCTTTCTCTCTGTTGGGCCAGAATAGTCCACTATCTCTAGCTTTTAGAATTTGAATCAACCTTTCTGTTGCTCTTTCGAGTTTTGTGCCATGGACGAGCTTCCCGGTGACTGGGTCCAATCCTCCCCCATGACCTAAAAACCAACGCTATGCGTTCAGGCCACGGTGCTGATTCAGGTACGACCCCCTTGGCAATAAGGTCTGCTTCCATTTTTTGCCACTTGAGAATGGAAGTCGCGTAGCCACCTGATCCCATGTTATGGTGGTATTGCTTTTGTCTGGAATTCTCTTGGTTCCTTCTCACCCGTTCCGCGCCCTCTTCTGATGTCTTGTACTGTACAAATTCCTCCCAGTAGGGCCTTGCCTTTGTGATTGGGCCCTTATCATTCCAATTTGGAGTCTTGTTCTTCTTGACGTATGATTTATAAAGCTGCTTCTTCCAAGATTGGAATTGGGTGGCCATCTTCTTCATTGTCCAGTGCCTAACTCGCTCTGTCAACCTTTCGTGGGTGATGTCTTCATGATAATCATCTATTTGGAGCGTGAAATGTGCAAGAACATCTTGCCAAATCAGCTCCTTGTCCTTATCAGAGACATAACTAATATGAGGAGCATTGTTATTTTTTTCCATTCACGGGCATTGATCGGGAGCTTGTCCCTTACAAGGTATCCACAGTGGTACACGAATTTCTAT